ATCTAGTGGTATATTTTTATGCAGATAGAGACTACATTGTGGCTGATTTCTCGTGATATGACAATTATATTATGTTTATTCATAAGTCCTCGGGAATTTGTGGTTGTCACTAATCAGAAGCGTTTTTTTTTTCGTCAACATCAACATTTAGATGGTGAATGTTCATTCGGTGAAGTGATGTTTTATAGAAACATTCTAAACGGTCGAAATTTAAATGTGATGATGGTAAATGGATAGGTACACTGCGACGCATAATTATAGTTCCACCTACAAATTTCCCAAAAACTTGAATCTGGGGATGTTTTTGAAAAAGGCTCTACAGATAAATTGTGACACATATAAACGCGAATCTGAATATTAACACGGAAATCCAGTTTGAGAAAGCAACAATTTTTTATCCTTATTTTTTCGAAAATATCCGCTTTAGCTTCTCCGCTGCATTTTGCTTTTACCCAATCAAAATTTGGAATTATTATCCATTCAAGTTCCTTAGCTTATAGCAAAGGCAAAACCGCTGTCACACTTCCGTAAAAGGGAAATCCTAGCAAAAGAGACGCAGGAATTGTCAAAGTGTCAGCTCCGCTGGAATTTGTCGGGGTGACTTCATAACGAACAAATTTCTCAAGGATGCTACAGGATATGACTGGGAGGAACCCTGATTACTATCCGACTGAGATAAGCGCCGTATCGTGAGAAAATGATATCCAGCCGGGTACTGAAATTGTAGGTGGAACTATAATTATGCGTCGCAGTGTATCTCGTCCATTAGCTCGATTAAAGGCCCAGCCCCGCGCTATCGCAAGATAAAATGAAATGCAGGCTTGCTCAAACCGCTTGAAAATCTCCCTTTTGTTACAAACGAGACTATTCCTCAGGCGGAGGAGGCGAGACGGCAGAGTGCGTAAGCAGTTTTCATTTTCCGGGGTTGGTGCCACTTCCTAGGTTTAGTTCTAGAGCAAACTCCGTACCTTGCGGTAGCACCCCCAGCCAACCAGTCTTGAAGAAGGAGCTCCCTTATCTAATCTCACGTTGGCAAGAGACCATTAATTCGAATGGAGCATAATTCAAGCAATTCGCTATCATTGTTTTGTGTGTAGTGATAAGTTTAAGAGTTCAAATGTCTGAGAACTTGTGAATCACTCAATGCATAGTCAGCCTGCCCAGTAGTTCAACTGAATACTTGAAAGCTTCCAATAGTACAGGAAAAGTAAGAGAATTCATTGGAAGAAGTCAAATTTGCAGCTCTCTTAGAGACGGATTCTCATCAATGTGTCTTCATGAGTATACTACTTATTCTAAGTGCCCACTTACCGGTGTTGCTGCCGCGATGAAGGCCTGTATGGTGACTGCTCAAACTTCGACATCTGAACAGGTTTGTTTTAATGAAGCAATGGCAACCGCCGTCCCACATGCAGTTGAAAAATTAGGCTTGGTAAGCGAGATTGTATACCGCAATTCCCCAATCACAAGTATACGGTCCAGGCACCGTATGCCTCCGAAACAATAACGATGTGCATTCACTGCTTTAGGTTCACTCACTTTTTCTAGCTCTCATCCAAGCGTGTGCTCTCGAATTTTCTGTAGGGACTCCATCGTCACGCTGTGCAACAACTTCTACTCTGGTGCGAATGGGTGTGCATTTAGTCACGACGCGGCGATGCACACACCGATCGCGTGACCGGAAACTGTTCTCAAATCTCTGACTGTGGAAGCATATGTAGATGCAAACGCGACTAGATACCACGCGTTTAGGTGAAGTCGGAGAGCGAAACGATGTCGATTACCACACATACGAACGGAGCGCGGCACGCTGCACTGTGCATGCTCCGCGTCGTGACCTGACGGTACACACCCATGACAGATGCTATTTGATAATCTAGACAGTTGCCCCAAAATTGCGCATCAGCCCAGGACAGATAACGCCTAACGGATCAATTATGAAATACGCCACATTTCTTATAATGATTTTCCTTGAATGTTTTCACTCACTGAGTTGTTTGGAATTGGCTGCTTGGGCAACTCAGGTGGAACATCCATGGACCGTTCTCGGCGTGGACTCCCATACGAAGCATAGCGAGACCGTGACGGGGAGTCTAAAGCAAATTAACATCATCACAACGTGAACTAGATAGAAAATCATGATAAGCCTCACCATTCGGTTGCTTGTGCTTGACCGGTAACGCGTAGCAGTAATCCGGCTCTTCATCCACCTCACGATATGCCTTTCTGTACATTTGTGGCGACTGATTAATGTTTCTCAAGGAATCCAGCGACCTATCACGACGAGATTCGTTACGCGAAGCAGGACGAATTGCGTCAACGGAGCGATCGCGCCGACGCATCTCGAAACTGTCATTCGCCTGTCTTCTCTGACGCTTCACCACGGGACTCCTACATAATTCTTTCATCCTTCAGCGGATAAGAGTAAGGAAAATTATGTAGTAAGGGAGGTGACTTACAACACTTTGACCTGTGTCGGGGTAACCTGTATGTCAACCTTCTTCTTGTTTACAGGTGGCAGCGTCCTATCGGTAGGGTAGTTGTAGAAGAACGACCTAAATTGCAAGCATATTTCCCATCTGATTTCAGCGTTCAGTAACACTCCACTTCTTCCCCCCCCCGTCCCTCACTTGTCCGTTCTTCTTTTGAAAAAGAGCAGAAAGGGGAAAGTTAAAAAGGAGTGAAAATGTTGTGGAAGAAGGGTGGACACAGTCGAGAAACGGAAACAGGCATTCGAAACGAATCTGAAGTGATGTTTTCCAGGGATATTCAAAATTCTTGGAAAAATGTCTCTAGCCGTATTACTACTAATGAAATTCGACTTTTGGAAAGAACTGGAAAAGAAAAAAGAAAAAAGGAAAAGAACTGGACCTAAGGTTTTACAAGTGAATGCGTGAAATTTTCCAAAAATGGAAACTTTTTATCCTTTGCCACCAAATTTTTACTTCTCGATCAGAACTTGTAAAAAACACCTCTTGTTTTCCTCCTTGCCGTGCTCTATTTCAGAAATGACGTCATGAAGGAAATGAGAGCTGGTCGGGCAGTAAACCACCTTTTCCGTCTCAACCTCCACACTCCACCCACTTGGATTGCCGATTCCTCTGCAATAACAAACAATCAAGGATTTCACTTTCGAATTCGATCATGGTATGTTTTCTTATAAACTTACCTATGTCTCAAGACTCGGTTGACAAGTTCCTCATTTGTTATCCATGGATGAGCTTCTACTGTGTAAATTTCACCGTCCTGGCTTGCTACCTCAACGGCTGCGTTATGGAAACCGCAAAGTGCTCCCATTTCGAGGCGAGACGCTGGTAATAGCCGAGCGGTCTGCAACTGACTGTATCTTCAGGGGCTATCTTAGACCAGATTTGACTTTGCGAATTGGGCGATCGCTAGCAATTCGTGGGTAGGCGATGCGCCAGCGACTCGAACTGCGCATCAGCGCTTCAAACGACAAACACGCGACTAGGCGATCTGGGAAAGTAGCAGAAGTCTCTCATGCACACGCTGACTCTCGCCACTTTCCCGGGCTCGCGACGGCAGGAGAGCATCCAGAAATGGGAAGAGTCAACGTGCGTCTCGTCACTTGCCCACACTCTCGAGTCGCGCGCATCGTTCAAAGCGCTGGCGCAACACTCGTGTCTCCCAATTCTCTGGAGAAGAAGTTCGTACCGTGGGCGGTTACGTATAAGTGTTATGAGAAATATCAGTGAACAATCGTTCTTGCTTCAGAGCTGACAAAAAACACAATGAAAAGAATACTGCGATGACACTCGGGTATACCGCTCTTGCCGTGTCTCGGATCCCCTTTCACGACCTCATGAGAACGCACCTGGCTTTCCATCATGTTCATTCTCCATGCGATCGTGTTTATCAGTTGCGTTTGTAGTGGTAGACGTTGTTCACCACAGAAACTAAAACAGTGACTATTATGAATAACTGAATAATGTGATCGAATGTAATCGAAACAGAAGTAGGTTCTCCCGGAATGTCCTAAGTGGGCAGGTCAACAGTTTGACCACGTCGCAAAGAGATCGCTTGGTGTGGCGCGGAGTTTTGGGTGCGTGCGTAAAACGAGTTTTCAGAGCTGACAAAAAACACAATGAAAAGAATACTGCGATGACACTCGGGTATACCGCTCTTGCCGTGTCTCGGATCCCCTTTCACGACCTCATGAGAACGCACCTGGCTTTCCATCATGTTCATTCTCCATGCGATCGTGTTTATCAGTTGCGTTTGTAGTGGTAGACGTTGTTCACCACAGAAACTAAAACAGTGACTATTATGAATAACTGAATAATGTGATCGAATGTAATCGAAACAGAAGTAGGTTCTCCCGGAATGTCCTAAGTGGGCAGGTCAACAGTTTGGCGCGCAGAGACGTGGGGGTGCGGCGTGGGTTTTTTGCGGTAAAGCCGAGTGTAGCGTGCGACGCTATCCACAAGTTAACCTTCTGACTACACCGAACAATTTTATAAGGACCATTTTACCATGCCTTTTAAATCTGACTACGCCAGCCTCGTTTCACCAGTTAGTACGGCCTAAACTCTTACTCATCCACTTTACCCTACTTTCACCTGGCGGGATTCCAACAAGGCGAAACCGAACGCGACCACTGAATAGTGCTTCCTGAACATCAGCTCCGCCGAAGAGACCGCTATGAATTGATAACTTAAGTGTGTGCAACCGCTGTTTGCAGTTGGTTGGCTGCTATCGCTTGCCAATAGCAGGTGACCCGGTAGGATAGTATGCTGTGTAACGCCCTACCCTTCCTGTACAGAAGTAGGATGCCCTCGGGATGATAGACTGTTTACCTGATCAACATTGGCAGAACATTTTCAGTAGGCGCGAACACTCCGACTGCTTGTAGCAAGAGACGACAGCATCGTGATGTCGCTTCTTTGTCAGGATTACGGTAGATTTGATTACATATTTGAACGAAAATTTCATCACGTTGACATGGATTGTTGATACCCTAAAATGCCCATAGTTACTGAAACAGCTGAAAACATTTTAATAATCTTTGATTGTTTTTAATTTGAAAATTGTTAATTTTGGCCGCAATTTCGGCTAGCCGGCTCATCATGCTAGACGTTGAATGCATGCAAGCCAATAAAAACACAGCAGTGAAAACGAGAGAAATGGTATCTTGGTAGCGTAATCGGCAGCATAGCAACTCGACCAGCAAAAGGTGCGTGGTGCAAGTGCCGCTTAGGGCGAAGTTTCCTACAACCCGGCATCCTGGTTGAACATTCTAGCACACCTCGCAGCGATGTTGAACTTTGGAAAGAACTGGTGATGCAGGCAGTTGATGAGATAAGAGCTAGAAGCCGAATTCTGAAGCTAAATTATGATCACTTGCCTGTTTGACGATGTAACGAGCAAGGTCATCAAGCTGGGCTCGGCTCAGTGCTTGGTCATTCATGTATTTCAGTATGAGCTTGAATACTTCGATGGATAGACGGAAATCGAGATCATTCTCTTTGTGAAGAAAAGGTGTGAGGATTGGTTCGCGCCTTGGCTCGAGAAGATGTCCCTGAAACCTCGCTTTTCTTCGGACACATACAAGGGTACGCCTCGAGCAACACCTGCTATAGGGATGAACGGAAACGGTCGATCATGGAAAAAGCGGAAATCGATATAACATGTTGCTTAATGATCGCGGAGCAGTAATGTGAAACTAACCTTGAAGTTTTCTTCAGCGAATTTCTCGATAGTCACCGGTTCGATGGTGCTGACGCGGCTTTTCAGTTTCATTGGCAAATAATCCGTAGTGATTTTCATATTTGCTGCCTTCGGCTTTGGTTCGCCAATCGATCTCTCAATCTCTTTACTGGCAAGATTTTCAACATCAAAACATCCCAACAATGCTCCTGGACATTTCTGAAATATGACCGCATCTGTTTGCGAGCAAAAATCGAACACCAGCAAAAGTTTGGCTATGAAGGTAAACAACTAATGAGCACTTACCTGGTCAGAAGTGCTTGTCATTAAGGTCTCATGGTAAGCATTCAATCGACGATTTCTCTTTGTCTGGTTGCTGAGGTTCTTGAACATCTGCTCGCGAAGAGCGCTGCACTCCTTCCTACAAATATCTCATATC